TAGTGAGGTATTTGGAATCACGACATCAGAAGAACATAGGCCCTCCTTTAAAAAGACTGCTGATGTTCGAAAGAAGAGTGTCCGCCATAAGAATACGCATAGAAAAGCTGTATTATTCAGCAAAGTATGCCCCAATTTGCGTATATTGTGGCAAACATCAACCTTTTACTTCTGAAAACTTGTATCCTCAATGTAGTGATTGCAGCAGTAAACCTCCAGTACCTAAATGATTATTTCCCAGCCTCTTTCACCAAGAGTCGTGCTTTTTCTCTCCTAATTTTCAAGTGTTTAGCCTTGTTTTTCTTTTTTGTAATTATTAGCACCTTTCTTTTACTATTTTGTAATTTTAGTCTCAATAAGTTGAGACTGGCAGACTGCAAGTGTTTAAATATTCATTAAAAATGAATAATAAAAAATTATTGATTTAAAAATTATTAATTATTATTATTAATAATGAATAATAATAATGAACCCGCCCGCCCGCCCGCATCACCCCCGCCTCTGTAATGGGAAACAAGGAATCTTATTGGAGTGGCCTAAGTGACAACTTCGAATCGAGTTACTCGAGCCATTTTACTTGACCAGTTAGCAGCAGATTTGGATGCAGTTTCAAAGGGAAAGAAAACAAAAGAGCCTCCCCTGCCTGTAGTCTTCTCATTGCCAAATATTACTCAACCAGCAACAGAAATACATCTGTACACCGTGCCAGATCCATCTCCCACTCCACAGAAGAAGCCTGATCAAGCAGTTTCATCAGAGACGAAAGTTATCAAAGAAGACAAAGAGTATCATACCGAAGCAGTCGTTCAGGAAATTTTAGCCACTCAACCAAAAGAGATTCATAAAAGTGATCATTGGCTGTACATTATTGATTCGGGTGGTCAGCCAGCATACCAGGAGTTACTGCCTTTATTCACTAGAGCAGCTTCTCTCAATATCATAACACTGGATCTTTCTAAGCCATGCAATGAGAGATTTGATCTGATGTACAGGATTGATGGACAATACTTTCCATGCCACTCCAAGTCAACTCAGTTAGCATTCTTCCAGTCTGCAGTTTCGAATGGAGCTAGTTTTAAGCCTCTTGATATTTCCTGCATCTCCAAGAAACCGACGCACTCCATGCATCTTGTATTGGGAACGCATTATGACAAGGTGAGCGATGCTACTCTAAAGGAAAAGGAAGAGATTCTAAAGTCTTCAATGTCTTCGTTGGAATCTTTTACTTGCAAAATTGCATTATTCATCAATCTGATAATGATTCTATCATAATTTCCTGTCAACACGATTGCTGCATCAGAAGAAAGAGCTAAATACAGTGAAGAGATTTGCAAGGCAATATGATTGGATGGTTCTGATGCTTCACTCAAAATGAGGTTACCAATTTGATGGTTTGCATTTGAGCTGTCTTTGCCCGAGCAGAGTATTAATTGTATCAGTTAAGGAAGCTTTATCTATTGGAGAAAGATATCGGATGAATGAGGAAGACACTAAACAAGCTTTGAGATATTTCAATGACGTCAGTCTCATGTTATATTATCCAGATATTACGAATGCTGTATTTATCGATTCTAAGCCAATCCTTGAGATTCTCTCACAATTATTAGCTCTCACATACGCATGGGCGGTTGCAGAAATTTGGTTTGACCTGGGCATCAATAATTAGTGGGTGTGGTTCCATACAATTTTGCAAGGAAAATGGAAAATACTGATCTACAACTTCATTGAGATGGTTTCTTAGCATAAAACGACAAAGAAGCCTGTTGAACTATCACAGTTTATACTGGATGCCCACACCAGAATCATGAATATAATTATTGGTCAAAAAGTCAACCTGGGCATTGCCCCCTAATGCCCAGGCCTGCAACCGCCTATGCACATACGTCACTGATAAAAATACCCGAGCATTAATATTAATCAACCCAGTTTCTCGAACCGTTACTAATAATCTCAAGGAAGGATTTTTCAATGAAGATATTTTAGAGCATTTGAAATCAAGGTCTGTCATATTTTGCTTGCCAGAGTTCCAGTTGTGTGACCTAATCAGACTCTTCCTTCATCTTAACATCATCACCAAACTAGAAGATGAACCAAAGGGACACTACTTCATTCCTTATGCTCTTCCTTCATACAATGAACCAGTTTCAATTAAGGAGACTAATGCTAAGCCACTTCTTATAGTCTGGAGGGAAGAGAAGAGTGAAGAGATCCTGCCATTTCCTACAGGATTGTTCCCTTTAACCATCGTACACCTACTCAACCAGAAAGAATACATTACTAAAATCTCTCCGTTGACGCCAGAGTATTGCAAATTTCGTGATGCCATGTCTCTCAAGATTATGTTCAAAAGGAAGGAGGACACACTTCACCTCATCAACCGTTACACTAATATTGAAGTATACTTTACTGGTCCTACCCAGCACTTTCCATTGGTACGTAAGCTACTCACAAAAGCTACTGATAATAGCAGTGATGCCATGCACCTCAAGATAATTACATCAATGCATTTGCTTGCCCTGCAAAGAGGAATAGCTGCTACTGTATTGTTAGATCCAGTGAAGATGGTAATATTGTCAATTGTACAGTTTGTTCTGTGTCAGCTACTATTATAAATACTGTAATAATTTTTATTTATAATTTATTACTTGTGTATAGGACCTGTTGAGAGTAACAATGGAACACAAATAAAGCAAGTTAATCATCAGTCATCAGATAAAAGTAAGAAAATACTATTTATTAAATCAGTCATTATTATTATTTATTTGTAGACCTTTTGGACAAGGAGCCTAAATTAAAGGACCTCCATAGGCTCTTTGATAGTTCTGCTGCTCATTTTTTAACTATTGGTACTGCACTTGATGTTGAAGTGGACGACTTGTCTCATAGTGAAAAGTCAACCTCTGATAAGCTACGGGCAGTTTTCAAGAGATGGATAGACTCCAATGAAGGAGTGACCTGGAGAAATGCTCTTAAAGTTTGTGAAGATTATCCTGAAAAATTTGGAAAAGTAAAGGCTGGTGTGGACAAATTTCTTGAATCAGATAGAGCTCTTAAAGAATATTTAAAATAAATATTTATGTCCTTTCATCCTTTATAATTGCTGGTTATAATGCATTGCGGTATCTGCCTGTTATTACTATTATTATTATTATTGTCATTTCAATTGCTCAAAAAATGATTTTTGTCTCTTTTTATATTAATACTTAATTAAATACATTTTCACTATAAATCTACAAAATGGAGAGAAGTCTAACTAGCTGCACTATATACTTGTGGCACATCATTTGTGCCATCAATTGGTTGTGTAGTACACAGTGATGTTGGCAAAATTTCATCAAAATTAAAAAATAGATTCTTATGATTCATTATTTTAATAACACATATTCATGATGTTTTCAAAGTCCCTTTAATTATCAAACAATTTTGTTTGTTTTGTATAGGCTGTTATGAGTCTGTTGTCACTTGTCAGTGTCTGTAATTTTACTGCATCTGCAGCATCTCATCTTATAGTTAGTGCATGCATGCCTATTAATAATAATAATTTAATGTAGTTTGAAATTATCACTGCACTGCTGCATCCGGGGAGTGACTACTGCAATACACGCCCAAGAGTTGGAACATGGACCAGTCCTGATACAGGCCTGAATCATTACTGATGATCGAGCCTGGACCGAGGATTTGGGGCAATGTCTTGATCCGATATTGACGAATCAGCCACGATTTATGCTGGTGCCAGACCTGATCCGACAACGATAACGATATTCATTAAGCCTCATTATGACGTACTTCCTGTTATGCTTAATTAATACTTAATTATTATTCATCATTAATTTAAAATGATTTGGAATTATTATTAAAACCAAAAAAAGATTATAATTGTTTTCTTCATCATAGTCTACCAATGTTCCACAAGTAAGACACTTCATGTTTTGTAACTTAAGACACCTAAAGAGCCATAAATTAAGAAGGCACTAAAATAATAAACTTACATTACTGAGAAATTAATTTCCCAAAATCTCCAACATTAATGAACTCTGGGGTTCCATGTAGTGAAGCAGATCTTTCANAGGTATCTTGTAACACATAGTCCTACAAAGCTTAGATCCATAACATAACTATAATGAGGCATAAATTCTACATAAGCAAAGGAACTACATACCTTCCTTAACCAGCATG